GGGAGGTGGCGGCGGCTTGGGGGTGGGTACGGCCGGGAGCTGATCATCGACAACCTGGAGAGGCTCCGGGGCCGAGCTGCGGGCCGGCGGGGGGAGCGGAGGGGGGGCGGCGGAGCGGGAAGGGCCCCGCGAGATCATCCACGTGGGGAGCCCTAGGCCTGGGGACGGGAGGGACAAATGATCCCGAAACCTTGGATCTTCTCCGCGAGCAGCCAACAGCGGGCAGCCAGCCAGCACAACTCGGTGCAGAGAACCCGGTTCAAACCCTGGCCGCTCACTCGCTTGCTGACCTTGGTCAAGTTACTTAACTCTTCGGTCTTTTCCCTTGTGTCAAATGGGGATAACGCACGGCAGTGTGTGGTGGGATTAACTGAGCTGGTGTGCATGAATTGCTCACCCTGCACTGCTCGGAACACTGCTGTCTCCTGCAATTCCCATTTTGGGGGATTGAAACTGACCCTGGGAGAAAGGCCATGATTTAAGAGACCGGAGCGCCATTCATTTCTATTCCAGGTAGCGTTCCTGGAGGCCAGGTTACTGCAGGACAGGAGGCACGGGGCCCTACACAGGGAACAAGGACTGGAAGGCAAGCGCTCTGCGCTCAGACCACCGTCAGACAGACGCCCACCGGTTAAAGAGAAGACGGGCTTGACCATGCTGGGGGCGAGGTCTCAGAAAGCCCCCTGGGGCTGAGCCTGGATTGGTCTACTGTCCTAGAAAGGGAAGGACAGTGAGTTCAGACAGAGCGGCCCTAGCAACCCAGAGAGGTGAGATGTACTTAGTGTACTAAGCCTTCACCTGCCTGGGAGCTGACGACATCATTCGGCTTGTTTCAGAGATGAGGAAAATGAGCCACACAGAGGCTGTGACCTACCTGCTCTGGGACCACTCCACTTTTCCCAAGCCAGCTCTCCTAATCCCCTATCTGGGTGCTTCCGGGAGGCTTATGTCTAACTCTGAGGACATAATGATAAAACCTTGGCCCAAATTGTGACACAGCCAACGTTTTCCCAAGAGATGTCCTTAACCTCTGACCTGGATGTCACCCTCTTCCACAACTACTCCTCGTCTTCATCACTCTCCTTAAACTCTTCCTCCAGACAACAAATACCTCCTCTGAACCCCTTTCTCTCCTCCCAGCCCATCCCTGAGGCCAGGCCAGCCCCTCCATCACCACCCAAACCCGGCTGCATGAGTTTTGCCTTCTCTCTCATATCTTGAACCCCTCTTGCTGCCCTGTGTCCTTCCCCTCAACCTAGGCACACGCATGACTATGTTCTGATGTAGAAATGTGCTCCCTGGGCCAGAGGCTCCTCTCCGTATTCCACCTTCTCTCTCTCCTTTCTCATCCACGCTCCCTTTTAATGCCTGTGCTTATGCTGAGAGATCCCAAATTACAGTCCCTCGCGCTGGCCTCTCCCCTCAGCGCTGCCACATGGGCATCCCACACACACCTCACAGTCAACGTGGCCAAAATGGACTTCTTCATCTGCCATGAGACCACGGCAGCTTTCTCTCATCTGGTGGCACCACATTCACCTGACTGTCCAACCCAGACACCTGGGAATCCACCTCAGTTCTGGCCAATCCCCAATTCCTCTGGTTACAGTAGTGCTCCCTGTGTTCCTTCCCAAATACTTCTGCACCCCCACTGTCTGTTCAGGTCTGTACCGTCTCCCGTGTCCTACCCCCTCCCTCGTCTCTCTGGTTCTGATCCCACCAACTCTAGAAGACCTCACCTGACCACCCTCCTGGGCCTCCCTCACCCTCTCCATCAAGCCTTGCCTTCTTCACAGCACTTACACTATCCAAGACTATCTTGCTTACATGTCTGCTTTCTGTTCTGCGTCTCTCTCTCCATTATGATGTAAGCTCCTCGAGGTCAGGAACTTACCCATCTTGTTTATAATTCTATTCCTATCATTTATATTAGCAGAGGAGGTGCTCGAGAAATCTTTGTTCAGTGAACGAATGCTCAGATCATCATTGTCCAATGGAAATATAATGTGAGCCACATGTGTAATCTTAATTATTTTTTTTTTAGGTAAACTCTACACTCAACATGGGGCTCGAACTTAAGACCCCGAGATCAAGAGTCACATGCTGTACCGACTGAGCCAGCCGGGTGCCCCTGTAATCTTAAATTTTCCAGTAGCCACATTCAAAAGTAAAAGGACACAGGTGAAATTAATTTTCATGATATGTTCTATTTAAGCCATATGTCTAAAAGATTATTGTTTCAACAAGTCATCAGTGTCAAAGATATTGAGATATTTTACTTTTTTATACTAAGTCTTGGAAATTTTATGTATTTTACACTTACAGTATATCCTGTTTCAGCCTAGTCACATTTCAAGCACTCAACAGCCACACATCGCAAGTGGCATCTATACTAGATTCATGGTTCTAGACTTATTCCTCCTCTCACACTGACCTGGCTCTAGTCGTGCTCTCTGTTAGCTACTGTAAAAATGGGTGTGATAGTAAGTCACTTACAAGCTTTTTCAAATGTCCTCAGAGAGTCTACCATGTTTCTAGCATTGTTCTAAGAAGTGGTCACACGAAGATGAATTATAAACACATCTTGCCCAAGAAGACCACAATCTGCTGTGAGAAAGGGATATGTAAACAATTTCCATAAAAGGCGTAAAAGATGTATGTACAGATTGCTGTAGGAACCACCAGTTCTGTCTGGAGGAGTCAAGAAAAGCTTCAGAGAGGAGGTGAGGCTTACGCCCAGACTTGAAGACCAAGTAGAAGCTGGCTGAGCAGACGAGGAAGGGGTGGGGCTTCCAGGCAGTGGAGACAACACTTGTGAAAGGCAGAAGTGGGTGGGCGCATGTCACGTGGTGAACTTCAAGTCATTTGCTCTGGTTGAAAATACCGGGACGTCATGCACCGAGGGGCTGGCAGGAGGTGAAGATGAACAGGTGACCTGGGCCTCGATCTCGAAGACCTCAAGTGCAAGGAGCATTTAATATTTACGAGTGGGAGAGCGTACCATCTTCAGAGCCCTGCCTGGCAGCTGGTGTGGACCACAGTTTAGAAAGAGAAGAGACAGGAGGCAGGAAGGCCAACTAGGAAGCTAGGACAATGGTCCAGCAAGAGATGATGAGGACCGGAGCCAAAGCAATGCGAGGGAAGAAAGGGGGCACGTGAGAAAGATCTGGATAGGAATCGTATGGGGGGAAGTCAGGAGGCAGGGACTGAGCACAGGTTTGGTTTTGGACATGTTGGGTTGTCAGTGTCCATGGGGTTCCCAGGAGGAACTGTCTCATAGGCAACTGGGGATACTAGCCTATGAAACCAAGAGAGACACAGCCTGCAGATACAGATCTGGGGGGTCATGAGCCTGGAGGTGTGGCTGAATATCAAGGAGATTAATTCCCTGTCCCAGGAAGAGGGTAGAGACAAAGAGAATAGTAACAGACACCGCCAGAGAGGGGCTGGTGAGCCCTGACACCAGCAGAGTAGCCCAAGGGCATCTGAGTGCAATGGGAGAAGCATGCAATATCCCAACCCCAGGAGCTGTTCCCTCAGAGTCTGCAAGAGACCAAAGGCCCAAGGCAAAGCTTTGGGTGCTGTGATATACATATTGGCAATTTTATGATTTTCTTGATAACAATTTCTCTTAATCTGAAAATATGAGTGGTCAGAACACTTGTAGTCGAGGAGCCTGTTTGATAGGAACCCTCCCCAGAAACCTGCACAAACCCAGTGAAAATAATCTCATTCCACAACAGTACTGTACTGTGTAGACTCCAACGTGTAGTTAAGCCTTGAACAATGCGGGGGGTGGGGGTGGGGTAGCCCCGCCCCCCATGAAGTAAAAAATCTGTGCATATAACTTTTCACCCCCCGGAAATGTAATACTGATAGCCTACTGTTGACCAATAACAAACAGTTGATTAATGCATATCTTGTATGTTATATGTATTCTACACTGTTTTCTTTTTCATTTTTTTTTAAGATTTTATTTATTTATTTGACAAAGAGAGACACAGTGAAAGAGGGAACACAAGCAGGGGAGTGGGAGAGGGAGAAGCAGGCTTCCCACTGAGCAGGGAGCCCAAAGCGGGGCTCGATCCCAGGACCCCGGGATCACGACCTGAGCTGAAGGCAGATGCTTAACGACTGAGCCACCCAGGTGCCCCATCTACACTGTTTTCTTATAATAAAGTAAGCTAGGGAAAAGAAAATGTTAAGAAAATCATAAGGAAGAGAAAATACATTTATAGAACTGGGCTGTATTTATCCAAAAAGAAATCCACGTATAAGTGGATCCATGTAGTCCAAACCCGTGTTGTTCAAGGGTCAAGGGTTATTTCCATTAATATTATCTCTTTTAACCTTCACAGCAGCTCTCTGAAGAATAGAGAGAGCCTTTTATGGATGGAGAAACTGAGGCTCAAAGAGGCGGCATGACTTGCCCAAGGTCAAAAGGCTAAGAGAGAGGGTGAACCTGAATTCAGTCACTATACCCATGAATATATACCCAGTGACTGAGTCTAAGTCACTATACCCATGATGCCACGGCTAACCAAGCACCATGTTGGATACCTTAGAAATGGCGGATGGACACCCTACAGATTTAGCCCGTTGACTCCTTGCTCGGAAAGCTGAGGTCTGGAGTTCTATTCCATGCCGATCAGTAAGTATTAAATTCCCATCTTGAAAAAGAGTTGGATATGACTTAAAAGGTATTCGGACAATAAAGTAGTTTGGTTTTTTTAGTTTGTTGTGGGTTTGTTTATGTGTATGCTTTTTAGGAGCATCAATCTTGCAAGCCATGAAGACTAACATCGTAGCTATGAAATTTGACTCAAAGCTTCCTGGAAGCAAGCAAAAATAGACCCATGGAGATACGTACCATTCTCTGGTGCGTCACATTGATTCGGAATAATTGACAGATCAGGAATTCAATTGAAGCAGCCCTCACCATACGCATTTCTGCCACGGAGGGGAAGTGAAAGCAGAACATGAGGGAACTTGGTCCCTAGGAACTAAGAAAGGATGTCGTGGGCGGGGACTGAGGGTAGCACAGAATAACTCTTCTAAAAGAGTAAAGTAGAAGGCAGCCCATAGGTCTGCTGGCCCCCAGTCCCAGAGCTCTTGCTCTTTACATGCTTCAGTTTTGCCCTTTGTAATCCTTCCCGTAAAAGTTGTGTTTATGTTTTTATGAAAGACTGCACACTCTAGATGAATGTGCAAGGGGTAATCAAACTGATTTGTGGGGTGGATAGGGACAGGACAAATAACCTGAGAGTGACCAGGGTAAGTCTGCTGTGCCTTAGTGGGTAGATCACTAGGATCCTGTCCAGAGAAGGCACCAGACAGTGATGAGGCCCCTCAGAGAAACACTAAGTTACTCTAAACACTAAGTCACACTAAACACTAGATTTCTCTTTGGTAACCATGAGTGCCCTGACAAGGGCTGCAGTTAGTGATGTGGATATTTTGGGGTGACGACAGCTGTCTGTCCAGCACCTAGAGCTGATGCCCAATAAATGTTAACTGAAGAGAAAAAGGGGAGAGGAAGAAGGGAAGATGGGGCTTAAAAAAAAAGGAGGTGAAGAGCTAGAGGGAGAGGGAAGGACAAAAGTCTGTAGGAAAGTGATAAGAAAATAAAATGAAAGGAGAGATGAAGTTAGGATGTAAAGTGTTCGTCAAAAGGTCTAGAGCAGTTGCCAGATGAGGTCTGTACCATGGCCCTGGGTTTCCTAGCAACCAAAGCAAGGAGGGAAACATAATAACATTCACAGTATCCATAGGATAAAAACAGATCAGTTGTTCAGAAGAACTCTTCAATGGCTCCTCTTAAAGGGAACACTGTGTCATACTTTGTTCTTAGCAACATTCCTACAATAAATATAGATTCAAATTCTGAACAGTAGTCCTTCAGTACATCCTCCGTGCAGGTGATTGGCATGGCGCCAAGACCCACTCAGTACACTCAAGGAGCCAAAAAGAATTTCACACAGATAAGCAACTCTCTGAAGGTTTGGCGTGGTGCCAAGATACATTTTATATTTGGAGGCAGAGTTGCGAAATACCTTCCTGACAGGCACCCCATTGCTCCCAGGGCAGACATCACCCGTGATCGCTGACCTCTCTCCCACAGAGATTGAGCATCACCTCACAGACCTTCTCAACACACCAGCAGGCTCTTCTCACCTGCCCAACCTGAATCCATCTCCAGCTCGGATCAAAGGCTATGCAGGAATACCCTTCAGGCAATGCTCCAGGAATATCATTTCATATGATAATGTTTCCATCAAATGAGGCAGTAGGGAATTTGACATCATAGGGGCTGGCAAGAAAGAAGAAATAGTCTACGTTGTTAAGTAAGAACAGAACATTATGGTTGGACAGGCAAACGGGGGGCAAGTAGACATTCCCGCGTGAAAGGGCTGAGCACTTGGACAAGGCCTAAATCCAAACCCAAGGTTGCTGTGGTATTCAGACTGCTTCTGAGGGATAACAAAAAGACCTCGTATGCTAGGGTGTGGGTTGGACAGAAGTGATTGGAGAGGAGGGAGAGGGGCTTCCTGGACAGTCACTCCTCCACTCTAGATGCCTTTTGAACCTCTGATCCAAGAGGTGACATAGTAAGTAACATAGAATAATTAACATAATTAACTGGCCAATAAATGAATATATGTGTGTGTATATATATATATATATACATTTAAATATATATATATATATATCTGGGGGGGACACTTGGGTGGCTTCGTCAGTTAAGCATCTGCCTTCAGCTTAGGTCAGTCCCGGGTCAGGCTCCCTGCACAATGGGGACTTTGCTTCTCCTTCTCCCTCTGCCCTTCCTCCCCAACTTGTGCTGTCTCTCTCTCAAATAAATAAATAAAATCTTTAAAATCTTTCTTATTTATTTATTTATTTATTTATTTATTTATTTAAATAAATAGGGGCAGAGGGAGAGAGAATCCCAAGCAGATGCCGTACCGATTGCAGAGCCTGACACAGGGCTCCATCTCATGACCCTGAGATCAGGACCCCAGCTGAAACCAAGACTTGGAGGCTCAACCGACTGTGCCGCCCATGTGTCCCAATAACTATATTTTTTTAAGAAAGAAGAAATAATCCAGTGCTTGAAACAGGAAAGGGTACTCCTGGTTGACCAGAAATTTGAAAGATACCCAGAAGATTGTGGTGGCTTTAGCTTTGGTGGCCCCATGAGCCACACTTGCCACTGTTCATGCCCAATGGTGGGTCCCTACCACCTGGACTCTGGACTTGGCATGTGGCTGGCTTGCTTTGGCCAATGGGACCTTAGAGAGCATTATTGAAACAGAGCTTACACGTTAGAACGTGTCCTCTGGGGATACTGTCTTGGACCCCAGCCACCATGCAGTGAGGAGGCCCAAGCAGCCACGTGGAGAGACGGACATGGGAAAAAAACCAAGGGCCCTGGCTCACAGCCTGAGCTGAGATCCCAGCCAGTAGCCAGCACCCACATGGAAGAAGGTTGGTTCAGACTCCCTTACCCTCCCAACATCAACACCCCATGAAGCAAAACAACTGCATGGTCAGGCCACAGAATCATAAAAAAATAACACATTTTGGGGGTTTTAAGCACTGAAGTTTGGGGTGGTTGGTCATGCAACAGCGGACAACTGAAAACAGAAAGCAGAGATGGAGGAGGGAGGGGCAGCTCTGAGGACGGCTCAGTCAGTCAGTCCTTCTCCGTCTCCCGGCAAGAACATGGAGTAGCCAGAAGCCAGGGTGTTCACATGCAGCATTACTCAGGAGCCTGCTCTCCGGAGCAGGTGCACAGTCTGCCTCGAGAATGTCTGAGGCAGGTTGTAGGGCCCAGGAATGAAACAGAACCTGCTGGGACAACTGTGAGAGTCTCTAGCTTGACTACTTGCCTCTTGTCCTGGTACCTGAAAAGATTTCTATATTCTGGAACTCCATGGGCATAGACCCCTCGGACGGCTCCGTCAGCCAAGGGAGAGGCCGCACGGGGGTCAACAAATCTGCAAAGGCACTCACGAAAGCTACGCATGCTAATTCACATAGCCCTTCAGTCATGTCTATAAACAGAAAAAAACAAGGGTGCTAAATATGTTAGGAAAATCCGTAGCATGGAATAGGAGGCTCAAGTTGAACCAATAGAAAAACTGACCTTGGAAGATACAGAAGCAATTTAGGAAAGAAGAGAGGACTTTATAAAAATTGCAGTTAATATCCTTAGAGAAACTTGAGGTGTGTTAGCTGAGAAAGGGGAAGGAGTGGCCATCAGAAGGGAACAGAGAACAAGAGAAAGTTCTTGGAAATTAAAAATGGGATTGCAACAGGAAAATTTCAGTTGATGGGCTGAATAATAATTTGGATGCAGCTAAAGGCCAAGCAGTTAATCTAGAATCATAGAATCTTAAAGAATGTAGAGCAAGAAAAATAAAGAGGCAGACAGTATAAGAGTGTGGAGAAGAACCCAAGAGGTCCAGCATCAGTCTAATTAGGAAAGAATAGAGAAAGTAGGGAGAGAAAATAACCAGAGAAGGAACAATAATATTTTCTTAAGCTCAAGAAATACATGAGTATTCAAGACTGAGAAAGCCCACTAAACAAAATTAAAGAAAAAAGACTAAACTCTCCCCACCAAGCTTTACCAACCTCCCTTACCCTGATCTACTCATTCCCTTTTCCCAGAGCACTTTCCACCTGCTAGCATGCTATACAACTTTGTTATCCATTATGCATATAGTCTATGACCTGGCTCTCCCTGTTAAATTGTGAGCTCCAGGGGGACAAGAATCTTTGCCTGATTTGTTCCTTGTTCGGTGAAGCCTGGCACCTGCCATCTAGTAGGCATGAGTAAATATTTGTTTTGAATTGAGTTAAAATCTAGATAGACAAATCCTGGTAAAATTTCGTAATTCCAAATATAAACAGGAAATCCTAGAATCTTTGGGATTTCCTACAAAAGGACGAGAAACAGAACTGTCATCTAACATTAACAACAGTGGAGCCTGGAAAACAAGCAAGTTGCTCCAGTCTGCATTCTGAGAAACACTGTCCTAATCCATGGCTGGAGACAGACAATACCTGCAAACCTAAATCAGACATTGGGAAGAGGTGTGATTGATCATCAGAGGAATCCGACGAGAAAGTTAGTCATTTCGCCCAGAACATGCTGGTAGCAGAAATTCAGATCTCAAACAGCGGTATAGAATGGCTTTAGTTTTACAAGGGAGCGTTTCCCCCCCCTACTCTGAGTTCAAGCCACAACACATAAGCTTCATTTTTAACTCTTCTATGATGGGAAATGTTTTGCTGTTTCACCCTTTTATCACAAGATATATCTCCTTAAAGGTCCCAGCTGTCTTCAAGGATGTCAGTTTCAACCTTCTGAATCCAGTGAATTCAAAGCCAGGCCTCCCAGCCTAGTATAGGCATAAAAACCAAGTTTCCAGGTTATTGAAATGACAACTTCCCTAGAGCTGCAAGCACCTTATCACACACAGACTCCAGGCCCCCGAGTCTGGTTTCCTCTTAGCCTCTGGGGCTTTCACTTACATTTGTGCGGGTCTGGCCATGTGCTTAAGTGATTCTGTTATACGAGTTATATGTGAGTATTTTCAGGTGTTTTTTAGTGGGAGGGTTTGCAGACGATTTGGTCCGGATAGCTCAGGACTTTAACTTGAAAAAATTAAACTATCAAGTAACAGGTGCCCCCCAAAAAGGGCGTTTTCAGAAATGCAAGTTC